AGCAGAGGCCTCCGTTTGGGTACCTTGGTGATCCATATTTTGCTCCGTCATGTCTACGTTTGCGGGCTGCTACCCAGATGACCAAGAGACTTGCTCAGGCAGGTACTTCAATAACTTGGCTCGGCCTATCGCGGTTGCCCGAACCGTGGATGAAGTGAAACTGTGTCACACATTGAACCATTGCATCCACGCTAATCGGCTGCTGCCGACGAAAGCCTGACAACATACGCGCCGATTGTCGCTACGCGCAAAAGCAAAACTTAGTGAATGGCCACGTCGGTAACCACCACAAAGATCGCTGGAAAAAATAGAAAGAATGCTACTACGGCACAGAGAAAGCCGATCATCACACCGCCAGAGAAAGAAAGCACACCCCTCTTTACAATTGTGAACACTAAAAAGTGGCATAACTCGCGAAAGATAATATGTGTTATAATGTGCCTGAGTCGAAAACAAGCTCATGGTTTATCAACTGCACTGCACTGAACTGAAACAACCGGGCAATCTTTAAGTACCGTAGATTATTCAGGAAAGCGAAACCCAGACAGAACTTGGTTCACTTAACAGGAAAGAGAAAAATATTAAAAGCGAGAAAATACTCCTCTACCAAATCGTTACTATTCCTAATGCAAAAGGCCCAGTTAAAAGTGATGGCCGTTTTCCCACAGTGGTTCTTTGGAAGCTCGTTTTCAGTCGACCGGCGTGCCCACTATAACTGTGTTTTAACATTGATACAAATACGGGCACTTCGAAAACGTATTGCTCAAGTGTGCGGCATTTGTGCATCAAGTGTACGTTCGTCCGACAACGTGATGTTCAATTTTTACCACAACAGTCCCTGCACGTAACGATTACTTCAATGCTACGGCTAAACATCGGTCAGTACAGAGCCCACAGGCATCTAGTATACCACGAAACATTTGACCTCAAACACAGACCAGATCGTTCACCTGTGGGTAGTTTGCACCTCGTATTAGTCCTTCTTGTAGTGGATTCCATAAGTTTACCATTCTTCGTCCTATACAAAGTTTATGTGACACCTTGTTCATGCATGGGACCCTGAATTTGTAGCGGTGTCCTCGGGTGTTACAGGGTTCCCGCAGGTGAAATATTGTCCGTAGTATGGGAAGTGGTCCGTGGGTCATAATAAGGTCAATTCTTACTCGGTGGTAAGATAGTGTGTAGAGTCCGAGCCTTCCACAACGTTTTTCATACGGAAACATCCGTGGACTGGGTATCATTCTAACTGCAATGCGCTGTAATTTTTTCCAGCTTTTCCGTTTTCCACCGGGTTATCGGATCGTAAGCTGGGTTGCCGTATCCAAGGATTAGTCTGATGAGCGAGGTGAATAGATAACGGACGGTTCCTTCAGACCATGTGGCGAAAGTGCGCTATAATGCCCGGGACATACGAAGTCCCGCAGGGTATAACATTTCTGTCTTTTCTAGTGAACACATCATATCTAGAGAGTACTCCTAACTCACTGACGGATGTGTTGGGGTGTAGCAACACCGTCTAAGGTGTATGGTCGAGTGGGTGCACGTCTAGTGATACTGATGACCTCCGACTTGCTTGCCTTAAGTGGGAGTTGCATTTCAGTGGACCACGTTGATAGTCGCAGTCCTGGTTCTCAATGAGCCCCCAGATATTCAACTCATCTGCAAACAGGGCACATGCTGACTGGAGCTGCTGCGGGAGATCGTTGATATGAATAAGAAATAATACTGGCTCAAGTATAGTTCTTTGAGGTACGCCACTGGTCGATGGGAATCTGTCTGACCTGTACACTAAACTTCCGTCCCACAATAAACTTGTAAACTCACTGAAGTAGCGTGCCACCGATGCCGTAGGTCCTCAGTTTAGGAAGGAGTACCTCGTGGTTCACTCTGTCAAACAACATGCTAAAGTCGATGTACACCACGTCAACATCCTTCCATTCGTTGAGAGCTTGTATCCACTTGTGGTTTGCGTACATCAAGTCGGTGATGCAAGATCACCCCTTTTGTGAAGCCGTGTTGCGCTGGCGTCAATACGCCTATCGATTCGAAGAACGACAGCAGACACTTTTTCATAACCTCGAGAACATTGGACAATATCGAAGTCAAACAGATCGGTCTATAGTTCTCTACTTTACTCGGATCACCACCCTTGGGAAGCGGTCTCACTATGGAGCATTTTCAGTTGTTGAGGATAGATCCTTCAGAGAGTGATTTATTGTATAGGTTTGTCACGGCTGGTGAGATGACATTCGATAGGGACTTAAGTATTAGTGGGTGAAATCTGTCAGGTCCGGGGGGCTTTGCACCATTGAGGTTGACGAGTAGTCGACCCATTTCGACTGCATCACATTGTAGGCTCTCAAGCAAGACTGACGCAATCTGTGCCGGTACTTGAACAGACGCTGGTTTACTGGAAAATACGGTGAGGAAGTGCGTAGACAAGGCGTTCGCGCGCTCCGCGCTTGAAATGAGCGTCTGTCCGTCTAAGCTCTTTAAGACCGGTACATTACCCCCAGATTTCAGTTGACGTCTCAAGTAGGCAGATATTCATTTGGGTGCAGTTTTGGCCGAGGATGATAACTCCTCTTCCAACTACCGGCGTATCTTGATCTTTGCGGCGTTACATAATTTTCGTAGTTTCGTTTACACTGTGTAATCTTCATCCCAACCCAAGCTGAGGTATCTATCCCCAAATTTGCGACGCCGTCGCGCTAACTGTCTATATTCCGTAGCAAACCAATGCAGTTTGACAGGTCCGATTTTTGAATACTTCAGGGGAACGAACCGAATACACAGCGACTTAAGCTTCCCCTTCATTAATGACCAACAGGCCTCAAGCGACGCATCCTGTGGTAGTGTCCAATCAGTCTGACTTGAGGCTTAGACGAGCCCGTTGGTCCGTCTTACAACAGTTGAATGTCGACTTCAGTTGATTGTAATATGGTAACGACAGTTCTATGCTTGCCACAATGGAGCAGTGGTCACTGTTCGCCAGAGTTTCGAGGACTCTGATCTCATACAGCTTCTGCTCGCAGCTAGTAAACATTAGGTCCAGACAAGATGCCGAGTATGGAGTTACGCGGGTCGGTTGGATCACATATTGCGTTGCCCCGATTCCAACAGTCATTTTAGCGAATTAAACCTCAACGTCGCCAGAACAGGGAAGAAGCCGAATGTCTGGCCAGAATATCTTAGGTCAATTTAGATCCTCCATCAGTAAGAAATGAGGGCGGCTCATGTGTTTCTGTATATGTGGTAGCCAATCGCCACAATGGTTTAATGGGCTACTGTGGATAACCCTCACTATTGGTTCTGCGCGTCTAAGGCGGATTGTGCATCACAATTGTTCGCATAAATTATCCTCGCTCCAATAGGTGCTGGTAAGTTTGCCAGATACTGACGATTTTCTGTACAACGGTACATCACCGGGAGCCTTCGATTTTCGGTCGCATTGGAAACAAGAGTAACTTGACAACGCGACTTCTTGGGGTATGACGTCGGAGTTCAGCCAAGTCTCTGCAAGTCGTAAAATGTCCGGCCGCTCCGAGACAGCGAAGCGACACAGTTCGTCACGTTTGTTCATTAGGCTGCGCACGCTGGCGAATGTTACACGGAGGTCTTGGGAGGAACCGCGGGACGTGCCTGAAGGTTGAGCAACCAGCTGATACGGGTTCGTACACCCTTCTTGATCACCCGTGATAGCAGCTGTTTGTTACGGTATGTGGTTGGCAAGGTATTAGCACCTTACGGCATTAAAGTTTTACACTAAGTCCTCCTGTTCTCCCACTTACTATTGTTCATTTTATAGGTCTCTGTGGTTGTACGGCAGCAAAGCATCAGTACAAATAGCTAATGATGATGAAAAAAGAACTGAACGTATCTACTAGAAGCCCAAAGTGGGAAACACTGAGACCTGATGGTCGCAGCCTGGCAAAAGACCTTATGATGTCGCACTGGAGGCGAACGATTTATGGAGCCAACGCTCCACAAGGTCTGTGTCATGGAAGACAAATTTAACAGACCTCGTGCGGAGCAAGTCCTGGCTTTCTTTGTCCCAATGTGAACAGACGCTTCAGAAAATAGGTAGACAGCTGTAGGTATAAGACAAGAAGGATGTTAGACCTGATATACGAAGGCTGATGGTCGAAAGCATAAGGCGCCAGGTTGGTAATCCAAATGACACCCAACCAGTTCGAACTCACGTGAGTGCGGTTTATCTAGCAGTATATCCAGTACACGCTTCGTTACGGTGTGCTGGTGTACCGCGGATGCATACGCCTACAAGACGTTGAAACCGGAAGCGAACTGCCAGGATATTTGCTTGAATGTGCTTGATTGACAAAACTAGATTGTCAATCGCGTTTCAAGAAAAACCGCGATCAAACGGAGTTTGCCCGTCAGCTCTTCTCCCATCCTCTGTGTACATTCGTCACAGGAGCCTTTAAATTGACCACTGCTCCGTTTTCGCTGAAGTATCGTTTCTATGCTATTAATTGTGATATATCAATTTTAGGAATATTTTATAGAACCAGTTCCATTTGACTCCGCCAAGTTTTGAAGAAATGTATCCAGATACTACAACACACTTTGCAATTTGCTAGTCTCGGCAAAATGTAAACATCTGTCAGAAAACGACTTTGTAAAACCGTCGCATCAACCGGACAAGAATCCTGTTAATTCCTTCCCCACCCCACCCCCACTGCTCACAGATGCAGGACTGTTTGTTCCAGTGACTTCTGAGTACCCTTATCTCACCTTGTTTTTACGCTTGTGAAGTCCTGCATGTGTAATGATGCGGTTCTCGTGCATTCGCGGTCAAGAGTGTATAAATCCGAGTATATAAAGCATATTTTGACTTGACTTGAGTTTGTTACTCTTAAGATGGATCAGATATCTCCCGCAAAAGTTTGAAAAGTTTACTCCTAGCTAAGGGAACAGAAGCAACGTGAGCGCGCGCACGGTAGAGGCGAATGTGCCCATGCCACAGATCTCTCACTTACCTCTGGAAGCTGGCATTGAAGTGTTGCAGACAAGAAGCAAGCGAGAGGCCAACTCTGTGGGTGAATCACCGTCGCATACTGGCACACCAGAAACGGAGAATAGACCGGAGCCGACGTCTGGATTGATGAACTGCATGGGGACGGAAGGCGGGGGTACGTGAAATTCTATGATTGGGTTAAGTGGAGACACTGTGTCCAGTATACGAGCATCAGTGGTGTCTGTCGCATAACGGATCTGAAAGAGACGAATAGAAAATAGAGACGTCACAAGGAAGACAACGATGATGTGTCCACGATGCAAGAGGCATGAATGCATAGACGTACTTTCAACCCATCAGGCGCACGAAGCCCAAGTGTGGCTATCAGATACGGTTTATTCTGTTGAAGTACGTCGTATTCGTCTACCTCTAAGTTGGGCTGTAAGGCACGAACGCCTCGTGAATCGAAGCGTTCCCGGACAAGTTGGACGAAAGGCATTGCGCGCTTGGCTGCCTTGCCCATTTGACTCAGATGCGGACGAAGAGCTCGTGCCAGAACAGCGTTGTCGGGCAGAGCACACCCGTCCTCTATTAGATTGTCCCGTAGCACTTGGAGGATGAGCGACTGAAAGTGAAAGGAGGAAAAGAGGAGGGCCGTAATCACCGGTGAAACTGATCGAGGTTGATCAGGGAGGAACTTCCAGCAGTGATTGTAAGAAAAGCGAATGTACTCACCTGCCACGCAGGATACTCCTTCACAACCCAAATGGTGGCTTCCGATGGAGCGAATTCGTTCACCGAGTTAGAACTGGGTCCAGACTTCTGCGATTTGGAGGTCTTGGACGAATGACGTGCAAGTTGCAGTCTGAATTGATGGGCCGACTCATCCAGGTAACGACCTAGAACGCGAAGAAAGGGATGCATTTTCGCACTGCACACATACAATTTCACCCCAGGAATCTTGAGAATCAATGACTCAGCGGACCTTACCTTGTAAAGTCAGAAGGTCGTCCACCGGGCACGGTATTTTTGGCCAACTCGATTGGAAAATAGATTTCTTCTCATGTAGCAAATTCCGCCAAATATGTTCGCATATATGAGAACAAATCGGGCTGAGCAATACGGTTTGAAGCAAGATGTACTCGCAGATGAGATCACGATGCACCGACCCCTGGCTCACTTCTCGGTACCTGTCGCGATGGGTCTGGTGGAAGATGTGGGTGGAAGAAATGATCAGCAGTGGCTAGGAATTCACTGCATTGCCACATGGCACATATTGAATACTGAATACTGTATTATAGAGCAAGTAGAAATGAATTCTGTACAACTCTTTCGAAATATGGTGAAAAACGTTATAAAAGTTGTCAGCCGTGAATATCGTTGTCGTTCTCATGTAACATTTAAAATATCTGACTCACGATATTGCAGGACTCACAAATGTGATATGTCATCGTAAGTGTGCAATCGTTCTCTGAATCGAATAGTGGTAAAATATAAATCTAACAACGTTTTGAACTGCTGCACAGGTGTTGCCTCCATCACATGTTCAGGTAAACTGTTCCAAATATTTACCACTCTCCGTTCGAAGCACAGTGGGTGGGGAACACGTTTCACATCCGGCACGACAAGTTTGTATCTGTGTCCGCGTGTGCTGCATGGCCCTCGTAAGTGCAGCATTGGCCTTAGCATTGGGAAGTCACCGAGATGTAGAATACGGTAGGTCATAATGAGGTCGACTCGCATCCGACGGTAGGACAAGGTGTAGAACCTTAGTTTCTCGCACCGGTCTTCATACCCCAAGTCACGTAAACTCGGGATGAGCCTGGTAGCAACGTGTTGGACCCGTTCGATCTTTTGTACCTCGCCTCGGGTAATCGGAAAGTAGGCGGGCGAACCGTACTCTAGCATTGGTCTAATGATGGAAGAGAAGAGGCAAGTGGCAACCTCTTCAGACCATGTGCCGAAGCTACGTTTGAGCGCCCAAAGCATGCGCAGTCCGTTACGATATAACCTGTTCGTGTTGTCCACGGACTTCAAATCGTAGCGCGAGAGTACGCCTAGGTCCTTCACGGAGGGTGTGGGATATAGCGGTTGGCCGTCAAGAGTGTAGGTTCGGCCATCAGCACCCTTCCCCAGGCTCATAAATACAGACTTGGCTGGGTAGACCGGGAGAAGAGGTTCTGCAGACCATGTGGATAGGCGGTTGAGGTCTTGCTGAAGTAGGTCACAATCATCGGGAGCGTCAGTTTCTCTCCAAATCCTCATGTCGTCCGCAAACAAGGCACACGGCGACCGGAGAAGCTGAGGTAGATCGTTGATGTGGATCAGGAACAGAGTGGGCTCCAGCGAAGTGCCTTGAGGCACGCCACTTGTAGAGTGGTACCAGTCAGTTAGATAGTCGTCGACCTGTACCCTCCACTTTCGTCCAACAAGAAAGTCGCGGATCCACCGGTGCAGTGAGCCACCGACACTGCACATCCTGAGTTTGTGAAGGAGAACTTCATGGCTGACCTTGTCGAACACTTGACTGAAATCGATGAATATCACGTCGACAAACTTCCCATAACTATTTCTGCACTCTCAAGTGTCCAACAATGAAAAGGTGACAGAAACACCGCATAGGGAGTAGGCAAGGTTCAACAGTCGTTAAGACTTACCCTGGCTGCGGTGACATTATTCATTACATAACAAATGACCGTAAAAAAGCACGAATGAGTCATGTGGTGCCGCAATGGAGTGTCGTCTGTTAACCTGGAACTATCTATGTTACTTGAAGTACAGCTTGCGTATGCTTGCTGAGCACCTGCGTCGACGTATATTGCTTGCCAAATCAATACCTATCCAGTGAACATTCAGTGGTCAATCGAGATCCTAGCAGAAGACCATGAAAAGTGGGCAGCGACGGGGTGTGTCGTCTACTTGAACGAAAGCCCTGGTGATTTCGTCCACGACAGTGGTTAGGTGTCGTAGCGAGAACGTGAATATCACCAAATCATAGGTTAGTATACGTTCGCTTTTATTTCATCTGACAGCAAGGTGGACGATTGATAGAAACTACAGTTCCAATTGAACATTCAAAACATGGAACATTCAAAAGAACCCCGAGATATCCAATGGATATGACGCCAGGTATCAAAGTGATCAATGGATTTGGATACAAGCGTAGCGAAAGTGGATCGATCCTACGAGCAGTAGCTCAAACGCCCGGTTTCGAGTTCGCTATCGCGTGGGTTTGGGTATCTTGGCAGTGTACCAACCCGTGTACGTAAAAGTTTGGGGGTTTCGTCGCACTGAAGCATCCATGAATGGTGCTGGTGTATGAGTGACGCCAACTGGGGAATCCATAGCGGCACGATTTAGACACCTTGCCACAGGCTCGAGCTCAGGCTCTTGCCTAGGTTTGGGCATACCGTTAGTTTCCAAACCCGCGTACACATGCTTGTGGTTGCATTGCGGAGACGCATCAATGCGACGTATTGGTATACTTCTGATACCTTTAGGCGCCGAGATCAGTCGAAGAAAATTCCGATCTGCATAGGACCGGTGTGTAGTCGCTATCTAGGGGAAACATGGTGACAGTACGCAGATACTTAGTATTGCCGTTTCGAAGTAACGCAACCACGAAAAGTCACGTGTGTGAAAACGATAATGCGAGATGGCGCACACTTACTTGAACCGTTGACCTGTGGGTTACAAGCCTGAACAAGTCGGCCAAGATGACAACGGACTATTAAGAAACCAATTTTCAACTAGAGGGCAAACCAAGGTCCCCAAAAGGGTAGATTTGTGTGCATATTGTGCGGAGAGTGCTGTGGGCCTCACCGTATGGAAGTCATGTTAGCCGAAAACACCAATTACCTGAAATTCGTAGAAAACAACTTTGAGGACTTCTTTGTATTGATGTGCAGCGTAGAACTTGCCAGCCAATTCAATTGTCCTGATCATATCACTGTGCAAATGCATAATGGTTGATAACACTTTAGTAAGCGATGGAAATGCTTAAATTGTAAAACGTCATCATAAGTAGTAGGATTTATCCGATAATAACTTATGACAATATGCTTAGATAGCACAGAAGTGATGAAGCTAGTCTCAGTCTTAATCTTTCTTCAACGGGACAATCACCGAGTTATGGAGTCACGGAGTGAGTAGGAAATATTGATGAAGAACGGTAGTTTTGCCAGCAGGTTTTCGCTGCATGATAGCATGCTCTTTGTGAGGACACGTTGTTGACAAGGTGTAGGCACCTTGACCCTGAATGTTTGTTTAGGGCATTTGGGTTTTACGATAGCCCCCCCCCTCATTTGCACCCATTACTCTGTTCCGTAGGGTATTGTGGTTTCACGCAGCGAAGTATCAGTTAAAATGGTTGGTGTGCCAATGCTGATGATGAGCATGATGAATTTCGATGAAAGGCCATCTCAAATGGTAGCCAGAAACCAACCTGCAAATGAGGCGCGAGTGATGGGACACTCAGTAATGCATCTGATAGAAATGAACGTAAGTAGTAGTACCAGTAGTATGCCGGATTCGGCAGTGATGTTGCATTGCCTTTCAACAGCAAAGCGGCTGCATGCGAGCTGTGTCCGAAAGAACCATTACTTCAGCGAGTTAATCGATTATGCATTGATTTCAAACATTCTGGTATTTTCCATAGCCTTGCGTGACGGCTCAACATCCTAAGGATTGGCTGCATCGGTATAGCACTGCTACTTTTAACATTAGACCGTTTGTTCCAGAAAGCGACCATTGGACAACCTATGGATATGGCCAAAGCCTAGTTCAATTGTAGTGTTCCGAATAATACGTTATTTTGTCAAGGTCACTTGGCTGCTGGTTCGAAACAGCAAGCAAGCTGAAGCAGACAAGGTATTAAAACATAAATGCAACAGGAGCGGGAACTCGAACTCGGCGTGAGGAGGGCGAAAGTCAAATCTCTGAATGACTATATCACAATGATGCGATTTCGATCACAGTAAGAGTGATCGTGACTCGTAAACATGGTGATGTGCATGGAGCTATGTGCTATGTACGAAGGGGAGCCCAAAAAAGGGCCCGACAATTTGATCAGTGTCGGAGCAGCGAAGCACAGTATGCCTAGACGTTTTGCCCTGCGTTAGCATAGCAAGGCAACTTGCCAATGAAACAAGCCTCTTCGCCATTTAAATAATCGATCCAGGGAACGTTGTCCAGTGGGGGATAACACTTACAAGCCTAGTCTCTCCGTAAACTTCTGCTTGTCATGTCATCGACCTAAGACCTCGAGGTTTCGTGCAATGAGATGCAATAGCGGTAAACGAGGTATTTGGATAGGTAAGCAGAAGATGGCCCAAAGGTGGATGAGGATATAGAGAGGAATTGGACCAGCGACAGAGGGCTGATTGCAAAATACCAACTACTAGGTTTCGATAATGTACAGTACGTAGTCCCAGCAGAAGAATCATCATGTGTGTTGAATCTTCCTCTTTTTGTGCGCTTCTGGCTGAACTGACCTCGCAAACTCCCGATCTCAGCCAAAATCGAAAACGGGATGTAGGTCAACTACTGAAACAAAGACATGTAGTGTGATGACCAACGAACATTCATAGGTCAGTTACCAAAGTTGATACTTAGGCTCCGCTCAGAACGATGACAGATCTAAACATCATTGAAACAATTCGATTCTACTGCTGAACTTAATAAGTTGGAAAGTAGACTTTTTTGATTTTACTTACGGCCAGACAATGGAGAGGCACCGGAGATCAGGAACGACTAGTCTAAACTATCTTCGAAGAGCAAAGATCTTTTTGTAAATCCTAGTCGCCCCGCGGCACTGCACAGCCCACGTCCGATCGACGAGTTGAGGCCCGAATGGTGACATATATGAAAGAGGATCAGAAAAACCACCCAAGTTTTTCCCATACGCACCGAAACCTGACCATTTGCATGATTGGGGACCGAAGGATGATGAACACGTTTAGTTATATACATCAGCTTACATGGCAGAGAGTCGACGTCAGTGGCGTTTGTGTTGTAAGTCTGTTTGTACCTCCCCTTCCCTTTAGCTTTTCCCTCCAACAACCATCAAAAATGTGATATTAGCATTAGGTTACGCTTTGTAGCTTTTAACTCTAGATTGCAGCACATTAGCTGAGGTGCATATCTCACCCTCGGCTAACGTATAATGACGATGATGATGATGATGATTTGCGGTGGTATTTCTGTCACCAAGTGGAGCAATGGACCGTAGGTTCAGTGCCAGTGAGATGCATTGCACTTCGGCGGCACGAATTGCATGCCGACGTGTGCAACACTATGTATCAGCCAGTATTGGACTGCGACCCACTAAAAAGGTGAGATATCGTCCACCACATACTCGAGTGTGACAACCGGACCCCGGGGCAGAAATTCCACTCCAGAAAACAAATTAAGCACAGCGATACACTATGTCTTGGAATACGAGGTTAAAGTGGGAGGGAAACACGGAGTAGTTCTGATGCATCACACCAACCATGAAAATCTCAGGAGGCAGTTTATCGGATACCATTACTAGGTGTCAGAAGCAGTAGCATACAAATGTCAAAATGGATAGAGGCCCCGATAATGTGCTTACTAGAGTAAACGATGCCGTAAACAGATGCGATCTAAGTCAGTAATGGCTCTCATCAAGTAGATCGCTTTCTCCCTGACCCCCGGAGATAACCTCAGCGTATGTTCGAACGAACTGAAGAATGAATATCAGTACTGGACAGTGTGAGCATAATGTGGTAAATCAGATGGACAGTGCGTGTGTGTGTGTGAGTGTGCAACTCATTCCGATCGGACGTTAGGGACCACTAATCGAATTGTCTGGTCAAGGTTGCGCAACATCAGGTGGGGTTATGGTAGGCATTGCCGGCCCGTAGCATAAAGGTAACGAGCTCACCCGTAGCCCACGTGCGACCGGTGCTGATTGCGCGGCAGCGAAGCGTCTGTAACGGATACCGGCGTACTACTGATGTCTTATGGTAGGCATTGCTAAAATAAGTGTGGTGTTTCAAATCGTCTGTTATCTCTACAGGTATGGTGAGATGTAGCCGTACTAGTTAATGTAGAAATTTGAACGCTGCCAGTGCTAGTGTAAACGAAATAAATGGTAGATTCCGCGATGACGCGAGGCACAGTCTAAGTGATCTGATCAAACAGGCACAGCGGAAACACGTAATACAAATGAGTATATTTCTCGTTGCGCTTTGCAAACGGATTTCGAGGTAGACTGAAGTTGAATATATCAGAAGGATTGATAAATTGAGAACAATATAAGATGGAGACATGGTTTGTGACAGTTCTACATAAGTTTGGACAAACGCAGGTGTATAGAATGTATTCGGACTGCCATTTGCCACGGATGACGCCAATCTATGTATACCGAGTGAATTCGACGAGGATACTCATACAACTTTTGCACGACCCACTGAGTGCAGGGAGGCGGCACGCGGGTGAACCGAAATTACGTTACCAGAACATGAACAAGGTGAGCTTATCACGAATTAATGTTGACTTCCGGTGATAGGAATCAAAGGCGGAATTAGTTGGTGAGAGTGCCGTATTTTGATCAAGAGGGCGGTTGCGTAGATGCATGATAAGGTACTACTGCACGCAGAGGAGAAGCGCGATGCGTCCGCTCCAATTCGATTTACTAATCCAAGTCAATAAGGCGGCGGATGTGGCACGTTTGCCTGCGTGATTAGTATTCTTGCATATCAGGGGTTAAAGGTTAATTGAGATCCCAGGTGTGAATGTTGACAAGGTGCCTATATGTCTATTACCCACCACCTCGTTTATACCTGCTCCAGGAGGCAGTTGGCCGTTGGTGGAGGGGATGAGGTCCACCGAACGCGTGACGGTGCTAGGTACCTAAAGTGGTTCCATCCTGGGTGGAACGGGCTACATCCCAGCCACCGCGTTGTGTACGAATGGTACGCATGATTTCCTAATTAGGCAGGAATGCTTCTGTCCTGCTTGTTGAATAAGTGTGGGCCGGCTCCTTCGATGAAATGTGGCTCCCATCCACATGCCTCCCGGTCTTATTCCTTCGGGTTTACACTGGATATGGAGTGTGTGGATGGAGCTGTGGGTGGTGCAGCGCAAGCCACCCATGGTCCCTCTGTAGGCGCAGGCGTCCTGTGGCTGTCCTATGGAGACCGCAGTGACAGGCAAATCCGGAACTGGATACCACCAACGATATATCATTAGCAATTCAAGAAATAGACATAGAACCAGCAAAAACTATGGGAATGAATGCGAAGCACAAATCGACTAAAAATAGAGTGAAAGGCTTTTTCGAACGCCGGATTTTTTGTCATATTCGATGCATGAAACATGTGGACCAATACAATTCTGTATACAATTCTTCCACTGATTACAGTTGTAAGACATGTCTTCAAGCGTGTTGAGTCATAGGCATTCCCAATCCTTCGGTCCCCATCCACGAAGACGTACGGCGGTTAGACGTGGGATCGACGACTCCATGCGCTGTCGCCAGGTGGAAGGCTGACCACCATGCGATCGCTTCCATCCAGGTTCTGTAGACGTGCGAATAGAGCACGACGCGGAAAACGCTCGTGCGCCGTGCGTAGGACATGAACGAGGCATCTCAGCTGCCGCAGCAAAACCACCGGGCAATTCCTTGTAAATCGGCCGTTGCCTTTTCGCCAAACATGATTTAGTACATTATATACTGTAGATATATCAATTTTGCAAGAAAAACTTGGTAGTTGTTTTGTTCAATCAACTTCCAAGGTCACTGAGAGCCATTTACTTTATCCACCTTTTGAATACAAACGCTGAGATATCGTGCCTTTTGACACAATATTTTACGTCAACTGAAACGAATTATGAAGAAACCTTTTAATAAAACCTTTACAGTCTTGATTGGAGGCAAATACCAAAGATTAGTTCGGCATTATGCGATCGTTACTCGATCGAGTTACGACAATGCATTCTTCTAATCTTTCTACCCATTTGTAAACTATAGCATCTTTGATGGTACTTGTTTGATACTTTTACAGTTGACAATGTAAATTGCTGAAAATGCATCTATTTGGGGTATATAAAGCGTATACTAGCTTGACTTCAAGAGAATACTCCCGCATCTCCCAAGACGCGATGTTGAACATCATTACTATGAACTCGATTTGGCACCAAACACAAGTGATCCTTTCCAAACAACCGATGTCGAAGGCAGAAACACGACACATGTACTCCAAGCGAATTGACCAGGACTCGATCCCATTCAACAATACTGGATGAACGGGAACACTGTAAACGCGGCCCTTTCCTGTAGGCGCCACATGTGCCTCAGACTGACTAATGCTGAAAGAGCTTACGCGATACTGAGAGAGACTCTATTGCTGATAGGGCTGCCAGCAGAATCACAGCTCCCAAGGTAGACGAAAGTATCTACCTCTTCAAGTTGTGCACCTTCAAGGGTAAGCAAGGGAGCAGGTGGGGGCCAATCACGGAGCAACATTTTACACATCAATGCGGCGAAGCTCATGCCATACTTAAGTGTTTCAACCGCAAAACGATTTCAGAATGAGTTGCGTACTCTGTGGATCGTCGCCAAGTAAGGTGATATTATCAGCGTTATCTAAGTCGGTCGCGCGTCCACCCAGTGGAAGCACTAGACCAAAATTTTGGAAAACTCCTAGAGCTCTCGACAGGATGTTCTCGAATGCAAATTTGAAGACATAGTTCAGCCTTGTGATGCAGCGCTATTTACGGCGAAGGGCAATGAAAGCTTGCTGTAGTACCTCACTTTGAAAAGAAAGAAAGGCATCAGCGGGACGCTTCGCTGCCGCGCAATGACCACCGATTGCACACGGTCTAAGCATACTGCGAAGATCGCCTCACTCCTACGTACGCTCGAACCCGCGCCGTCAGATTACAAGGTTGTTACCTTTAGTCTACGGGCCGGAGATCCGAAAGTAGTGTGCGTAGGATGGCGGTATACTTCTCTGACACCCTGTTCTTCAGCAAGCAACGCCACAAAGTATTTCGGTTTTACTCATTACCAAGCTGATCTTGTATGAGTATCATTTTTATTACCGTGGCGTGATGCATGAATTTCTAATTCACTGATACTGATATACTGTTACTGGGAATTCCTGATTCAGTAAACCTTACTACTATCTATTTATAAATAGTACATTTTTAATCACATTTGTAACCACGGTGATTAAACAGACCACTAATGAGCACAGATTCTGAAACTGCTGTACTGCCGATTTTACTCTTAGTATTTATTGTATTACTTCATACTGATAACGATGTGTAGACCTCAGACATCCGGACACTTTGTTTTAATGCATCATTATTACATAACTGAATGAGTGCGGACTGCTCGAACTGAACACGTGGAGTTGTATCTGTACCTAATTACGAGTCCGTTCACCTATCCGTAAGTTATACATTGCTACCTTGCTCTATTATCATTTAGGCAGAAGCACGGTTACTGTGGTACAAATTGTTCAGCCCACTGCCCTTTAATTTCATGGCGCAGACCGAGCGTTTAGATAGGCGTCGTCAGCTCGCGGGTAAACAACGATTTCTGCAGTAACAACGTGGGTCAGGGCAACTTGATCCACTTTACCTCGGTGAATGGACCACAGGTAATCAAACGAGATGAAGTGTATCGAAAATAAAACGCTACTGGTGCTCGGGAAATGACCGCACCATAACGAAACGGTGACTCACTTCCGAAAGATCAAATCAGCATGCGTACGCTCTGGCCCTGTTCGAAATCCGGACTCTGATTCGGTGGCGATGCTTTTCAACGTTTGTGTGATCCAATCGAGTAGGTTGTACAGGCGCAAAAGACCAGCCTCGGCCATATCCTCCTTCACATTGGCGTCATCTAGTGAATCACCAGCATCGGCTAAGGCTAGACGAACGCCTGAAATAGGTGAACATGTGGTGGTGGTGGTTGTTGTTGTAAACACTACCAGAGGAAATGTGATCAACCAACGAACGCAATTTGAACGGTGGGGTGCATAAAAGTTCCACGCGGAAAGTGCAGCGCTAATGCGATGCGACTGCAAATTAGACGAATCAAAACAAAGGCTGCGCAGCAGCCGTAAACAAAACCTACGAGCTTACCATCTGCGGAGTATTTTTCGACTGCATCAGCAGCAGTTAGGAAATTTCCGGTGGACTTGGACATCTGTAGATAGGAAATGAGAGTAAAGACAAAAGATTGCCTAATAAATGACGTGTATATGTTGCAAACTGCGCCAGATGAGTTGGCAGACAACTTCTTTTGGAAAATTAGTTGCATAAGCAATAATTGATGGAAAACAATTAAGGAACGGAAGCCCTAAGTAGCCGAGTAGTATATATATAGCATGAAATGCAAGACTCTAACCTAGTTGCATAATTCTGAATCTCAACATTCAACACAAGCTACTAATATGTTGACTTATTGCAAACACAGGATTTGATACGGGAACCGTCGTCGGACAGGTAGAATTGCTGGACGCAGGGTGAGTTATCGGAAGGTAGCTCAATGTGTGGAAGGGGGCATTTATGTTCGATTTTCAAACAAGTACGTGACTAATAGAGAGAACCAAACGAATCAAGCATGTACAAATCATATAAGAACCAGTGTTGTTGTGCAGTGTTTTCTCATATTCGAATTCCACTTTTTCCAACTTTTCGTTATCTACTAATGATGCAATTGTTTGATGTAAATAATTGGACCTTTTTCGCTGTAGCCTTCACATAGTCCATACGTCCGAAAAAGCACTAGACGTCTGTTTCGGATTCATTGAGATCCGAACCAATGACCGCTAGCGACCTGAACCATCAGCCAAGAAACTTATGTCAATGAGTCGTGGCGGACTGTCATGAGTTACAAGCCAACTGCGATATAGCGCGCCTTATCCTCCATTGCCATGCAACTTACGCATGTTGCAGAGGACAGGGTTGGATCGAGAGAAATGAGTTCCATTGATAGCAGCTATGCCTTAGATAGCATTAACAAACTGTCCACTGTTCCCGTCTCATTGTTTTCTTCACTCACTGGTATTACCATGGGATATGGGGCTTGGCAACTTGCGCTGTGAGCAACTAACTGGATAAATAGGGGGCATTCTAATCAACCACGAAGAAGAATAGGTCATCAATGCACCAATTAAACAGGCTCGAATTCGTATCTAACAAAGCATATGTTTGAAAGCATCAAGACGGACCTTTTCAGCGTACTGGCAGCAATTGGGGCGCAGAAATAAACGGTTTGCTGTAAAAACCTTACTTGGTGTGACGTTATTTTGGTCATTTGAGGATGGCAAAATGGTCACCAATTCCGTGCATTACGCCCAAATCAACCAACCGTACGTTGGAGAGCAGCTCGATAGGCTGTACAACAGTGACTTTGTGCGTGTATGCTCAGATCACGAATCTTCAGCGGAAGGCAAAGCTGCATTTTAAATTGCGCAATAATCGATGTGTTTGATGAATGGTCATTTTGGAATCGATCTGCTTTTGACGAAACTGATAAATTTAGTTACCAAATAGTAATCAGATGGCTTTGTGGCGGTTACAGAGTTTGCGAAAACATCTCAAAGTTAAGCACTGTCCGTGGAATGTACACGGCGACCATCCAGGCTACCATCAGTAATGCGTATGCCCCAACTTTTCGGAAGTATAGAAGCAAAAACATTCCTCTGTTGATATTAAGCTTCCTCACATTATTCTTAAACAGTGGATATTTACCTACACAGTGGAAAAACTCGGTAATAGAACCAAAACACAAAGGCGGTCCCTGATCTACAATGACAAATTATCGCCCTATTAATCATACTGCGGCAGCCTACAAGGTACTGAAGCGCATTGTCAAGAATGATCTTGTTCAGTTGTTAACAAGAATAAACCTGATAAACAACGCACAACACGGCTTTCTTACGAAGCGAGCCTGTGTAACCTGTCATATATATATATATATATATATATATATATATATACATATACATATACATATACATATATATATATATATAAATATATAAACGAATGGACAGAGAGCCATCAGAAAGCATGGGACTCAAAAGAGACTATAGAAATCGTAAAAGAAAACACAACCGAACACATCGGAGTCCACGGTTTCGTCAGAGGGCGAAATACTACCCGGTTGCCCAAGTCGAAGTAGGGTGTTGACTTAGGGGACACCACCCTGAGTTTTTGGCCGAATAGCCCGCTCGCAAGGCAGCGAAGCGAATTCAGGGAATCGTGCCCATTAGGAGCCGGTAACTGATTGATCAGTTCATGCGCTTTCGTTTGTTCGTTTGTCAAACAGGGGCCCAATGCTCCCCAGAATTACTGCATAAAGTTGCTGGAATACAATGCGTCTCCAGAAAGAAGTAAGGAGCAGTGACTATATTTAGTGGCAAGTCACATCCGCCACGTCACAGTGTTGTTAAACGGATCTGTGGCTTCTTATAGGGTGAACGCTTGCCAGGCGAAAACCCACCACGTCCTGGAACACTGTCACCGAACCATTTGCTGGAACCGGAAAATCCAGAACCACCCAGCTGGCAGCACGAGGAGGTTGTTCGGTAAGCCTGTCACATACAACTCTTCGATCACGTAACATCGGTTGCTGACAGTGGCATGGCAGTTATTGCCATTATATTAGACATGCACAAGGTCTTCGATGATGTGCCACATAAACCTTTGCTGTCCGTCCTCCAGTTTTACGGTGTCAGCAACCCATTGCTGAGCTGGTTTAAATCCTACCTAGAAGATCGGACACAGAGCGTTAAAATAGGCAGGCAACTCTCCTCCTCGAGAGAAGTTACAAGCGGAGTTGTCCAAGACAATGTCCTTGGACCATTACTCTTCATACTGTATTTAAATAACATATGTGACGCCATCAAACATGGACGATCATACCTCTTTGCAAACGATGTTAAACTCGTCTACTCTTTCCATCCGATAGCCTTGAGCTCTAAGAGCATATACGAGGACTTAGCTGCGCTGGACTATTGGAGTTAAAATTGGTCCAAGAAATTCTCCACTAAAATATCGCAGGTGCTTGGGTATGGATGCTGCATACCTGATGGCTAGCTAGTACAAACATCCCAAACTCCTCTTCAGTCAGGGATATTGGAGTAATATATTCCGCATCGCTGAACTTTTCCGAGCATGTCTCATATCAGATAGCAAATGCAGGGCAATAGAAAGCCTCTATCACTAAATCCTTTGTCTACCTGAAGCGAGACAGAAAATGTTTAAAATTATCGTGAGATCTATGCTGGAGTACTGCACAAGTATTCATTGCTACCTTCGTAGAACGGATCGAACAGCTTTAGAAAACATGCATCGTTCTTTCACGAAACTCCTTATTGGCCGGTCCACCATACAAAACTATGAAGACCGCTGTCGCCGCCTTAAACTAGAATCTCTATGGCTGCGTCGCCTGAGAAATAATCCAGTTCTCTTTTACAACGTTATAGGTTGCCGGGTGCACAGGAAAGGAATAGATCTCAAATTGCAAAATTCCTCAACTTATCTCACAAGAAATAAGGGTTACTCAGTACCCGTAAAAAAGAGAACCTAAAAATCCAACTTCTTCCTGATAAGATATACACACCTATGGAACAAGCTACCATTGAAAATACGGGCAAGTGAGAACCTAACCAAATTTAAAAGGAACTTGGGAGCTTTTCTCACCATGCAAAACATAATGAAAACATTCGGTCTTCAAGTGTCTGCAGATTTTTTCATTTCATCAGGTCCAAACAATATATGACCTAGAATGCAGGTTCACCACACACCATCATACCTTAATATTATGCTGAAAAATGTCACCCTTGAAGTCCCACTTGTAGGTGGAGAAACAAAAAAGTGTATTTCTTGCTTTATCGCTTCGTCGTATGTTGTAAATATTCCACTGTCCTATGGCATCCGGATAATTTGCGTCACGTAGTGCGTATCGAAAATAGAAGTCAACTCGATAACAATGTTATCTGGTATACTAAACCTCTGCAATATTTGATCACACCGAATTATGTGGCATCCAACATTGTTGCGAGACATGCTATTTGGCCACTTATTTCGTTGATTTTTCTACCTCCTAATTTGAATATTTCATCTTATTTTCCTGGTATTCTGTCGGTCACGAGTGGGTCAATCCTCTGAGATGATGGCTTGATGCTTCTAAGCAACATGTACACCCACATCAAAAGGCCCACTAGTGAATATAAAAAGTGTGCAGAAATTAAAATACAGTCGAATCTGAACTACTGAACTCACCCTTAATGGCATGTGACGCCAACCAGTGATCCCGGTGATCATGCACGCGAAAAAACTATGACTGACGAAAGGGCTGACCGGCTTGAGTAACTAGCTCACACACACAAAAACAATGGCCCAAATGATGAATAAAATTGGTAGTGGCCAGCGTGCTTTTAAACCACACCGATACATGATCAGATGGAGCGTGGAGGTGCAGGTGAAACGTCTCGAGCGACTACCCCGCATGAAAGCAGGTCTCCGGAAGAGGGTTCCACGAATGACCGTATTACCTCAATTATTCGTTTTTTTATACCCTACTTCATTCTGCACTGAATCTGTTGTGCTCCTGGTTCCTAGTTAATACACCTCTGCCGTCCTACTCTCTTACCGATATTTCCCACGAACTTATTCCTTAGACCATAGCCTCAATCTCAGTTGCGGTGCATTTCCTCTCTTTCGCTACACCAAGAATCGGATTACTATTGCACACTTTCCTAGTCACCCTGTCTTTGGCATCTTCTGTAAGGCTACCAGCCACCGAATATGTCCTGACAGCAGTGAATAGGTGCTTACTTCGTTGTCTACTTATCCGTTTAATTCACCCATTTCAACATTACCGTTGCTGCGCATAGTCACACACGTCATAAATATCCACATACAAATGAAGGCTGAAAAAAATGCAACTGAGCTCACCCAACATCTCAACCATCGGGCAAACCAAAACCCCTCTTGATTAAGTCAAATCTATAATTAGACCTAGGAATGTCTAAACACCACATCATGGTTTAACTCCCTACGATGTGAATACTGCCTACATTATTCTGATAATGTAACTTGCGTTCGAGGATCCACTGGATTTATCTTAATATAGCCTTTTCCTTGTTCTTGTAACTCTTTGACTTGCTACTCGCAAATAGTACCAACTGTATT